CAAAGTGTCATGTCATAATTACATGCCATACCATACATATCAATCACCAAGCTTCCCTGATTAATTCAAATGAATTGGATGGGGGAGCATTCTGGCTTTGTCCTAGTATCCTGGATACATGGTCATATATATTATCATAGAACACTATCATCAACAAATAAATATTGAAATATCCAGGATCAGACCTATTTGTTAAACAAATGTACTTTGTTGTTTGTATTTAATAATTGATGTCTCTTGAAAAAAAAAAATGTTGGCAATATATATGCTCTTTTCTTTTTCTTCTTTACATTCTTGCCTTTTATTTTATTTTTTTTTAATTAATTACGGTCCCTATAAGTATTAATTAATGAACATGGAGAATGAATTACTAATTATATCCACCTGCAATTGTGGATATGTATCAGGAACACCCAAAAAAGTGATTTGAGTATATGGTAAGAGTTACTATTGAAAACATTACAGTTTAAAGCAAAACACTTTATTTTAAAGCCTGAAATTGGAATTTTATGTTTTTGAACTTCTAATGTGCAAGCCCTAAAGGTTATCCAAACGCAACCTAATAATTATTAAACTGGATAGGTTTAATCGAACATTGGGTCAGAATATATCCCTCTTCTTAGGTAGTAGGTCTGTCCTGCTTTTTCATTAAGCATTGCTTATAGGTTGTCATGGTGAGGCCTATATTGCAAAGCCAAAAACCACTATGTAAAAGCCCAAAGAGCTTAGATTATTATATTATAGAAATATTCCAAACACTGAAAACACCTTTTGCTCATATTCGTTACATCCCAAAGCTCAAGAGCAAAAAACTTATCCACAGAGACCTGAGCAAAATACTAACAAAATGTCACTACGTATCTTCTGACTGAAGAATTGAAGAGGTGGCCAATTCAAAAGATCCCTTGGTGGATGGCTTTGGTTTAGCTACACCATTCCTCCCTGCGTGGGGGTGTCAATGGATCAGTTTTGGGACCCATCCAAATTAAAATTAATTTAGATATATTAGGCGGACCAATAAGACATATTGAATTAAATCAGTTCAGACTTAATGATCTAAAATATTTATTGGATTGAATTGGACCTGATCCATCTGTAAAGAATTCATGTAGTCGATTAAGAGTTGGGACCGCACATTAAGTGGTTATTAAGTGCTTTTGTGTTTGGTAAAAAAGTGAAGAAGAGTACATTTTGTTAAAAGAAACACTTTTTAAAAAAGTGACATGGAGTTGATTTTTTTTCAGCGCTTCTTGGAGAAGTACTTCTTCCAATAGAATAGGATGAACCAGTCCCTGATATTTTTTTAATATCCAAAATACCCCACCACGAGGGTTTTACCTCCATCTCCTCTCATTCAAACATAGTGAATCAGAAAATGACCAAAAACGATGAAGATGGAATGATCTAGAGTTGAGAATATTGCTCGGTATCACTAAAAGAACGGGAACTCGAATCACCGCCGCTACTATCCCCTCTGTTGCGCTAGCGAAGAACAAAGGATCACTGAAGTTATTTGGATAACTTTTGCCCAAATAAACTTGCTTACCAAGGCAAGGGAAAATAATGTTTTCAAACCAAACCCAGAACAGTTGCGTGTCTAGTCTGGTTTTAAAAACCTTGGGCGAAAACGAATAGGGCCTTGTTATATATAAACTTTTGCTGGACTTGTTTCCTCTCATATTTTTATATCAAACCAAAAACAGCCTTAGCCTTACTGCCTTAGATTGTTCGGCAAGAACCAAGAACATAGTTCCGGCAACGAGCTATGGACGCGGGTCCCATCACAAGGATGAATTGGACAAAGTTTAAATGTTGAATAGCAATTTGCAATGGAGGTATGTGGTGGGCTAGCTGGGGCCTCCTTCAATCTCCATTCAAGTGGAGTGGAGAGCCCAACGTCATCATCTCAACCCCCAACCCCAAACCAATATTTAACTTTACAAGGGTAGACCTGACGCTGACTGCCGGAGTTCTGCGGGCAGCAACGGAAGGTGGGCTGATCGCTGACAGATTGACCATTAGTTGGCCATCATTGACGGAGCCATCTCCCTCCAGCTCAGCAGCAGCCTCTCCACCTCCTATCTCGGGTTTCTGAGTTGGCCCCAATACGTGATGTGTCACACGCAACAACACTTGCAAAAAAAAAAAAAAAGAACTAAAATATAACTCTTGGTTTCGTGTTTTCAACTTCCACCACTATTCAATTCAAACGTCAAACTTCTACTTTCCAACATTAATAATTTCTTCAACCCACGAATTCTAAATTCTAGCAACCACGGAGTTGAATTCGTGGTGGGGACTTGGAATTGGGAGCTGGATTCAAGGGGCCGAGTTAGGATTTTCTTTTTAAACCTTATAATAAATATCATTTAAAGGGCGGCAATTGAATATGAATATAGGATGAATCATCCATGATACCAGTAAAAGTCTTACCGCAAATCCGGCATTAGAGCCATACGCCAAAGGCCACAAGTCGTGGTAGCCAATCAGGTGATGATGTGGGCATATGTGACGACGACAAGTAGTCTTACTCAAAGGCAATCTCACACCTCGACCTGGGCTAGGGGCATTATCGTAACTTTCCCTATGTCATTATTGCAAAAACATTTATTACAAGCAATTACGATGTCTCTCCTGGGCTCCTACCACACTTAAGAAGGGGTAATGCTTGTAACAGCCACATTCATGACGGATTTTCAGAAAATCTCTCCTTGTACAATTGAATTCTCTCTTTCTTCTCTTATTGTGACCTTAACTTTCTATCTACCCTTGATTAAATTGATTGTTGAAATCCTCACCCCTTGGGAACATTCTCAGGGCCTTCGAACACTTATAACTCCTTACACGTGGGATCCTTGGCCATCTAACCTCGAAAGTTATTAAACTGCCCTCGGCTCCGGGTGGCATTTATCAAAATTCACAGGTGTGATGTGTATTTTGATTGGTTAAAACTCTTCAATAACGTATCTTTCCGACATCATAATTTTTCCCTGGGCCAAACAAAGGAATAGGCCACGGCTCACTAGGGGTGTATATGAATCGAAAATTAATATCCAAATCCCAATCCGATTAAATATTCAAATATTCGATTTGATTTCAATTCAATTAATTAATTATTTTAGATAATTAATAAATATTTTATTGATACAAAGTATATAAATTATTTACATAACTTAATTATTATATATAAATTATTGTATATATTATATAAGAATTAAATAATCAATCGAATTTAAAGTCATATCCAAATTTCATCAATTATATATTCAAATTCTCCAAATTCAATTCAATTATGTCGAATATTGAATTCTAAATCAGATTTTCGAATACCATTTACACCCTACCGCTCACTCGTCCATCATTTTCTTTCCTATTCATGGATGTCGTTTATTGTTTGTTGACAGTTGATACCAAAGAGGAACAGTCAAAATACTACTCGGTCTACAGAAACTATACTACAGCTTTGGATTGGAGTGGTCCCATCCGTCTGATCATTAAGTTTTGAATTTTAAGGCTGTCCAACACTACAACTCCTCATTGGTAATTTTACACCCACCCAATGCCCAAATAGCAATGGCTTTGATGGTGTAGAAAAGAAAGCCTAGAACATCCTATTATCAGAACAATGGATGATTAATCGGATGGAGTGGATTGAATATCGATCAGATCCTTATGATCCGATCAAAAAGTGGTGGGTCTGGTCGACTCTTGCTCCGTTTCCGTTTCCGTTTGGTTTTGTTTACGTTTATTTATTAAATGTTTATTGACGGTATAGGCGCCATCTTTAACATTTTCTGCATCAAAAATATAAAAATGAACTTTATCAGCCTTTTATACAAAGTTCAATATTATACTGATGTGACGTTTAATAATGCATAAACATTATAATTATTACATTTTTCAGTTTTATCAACAAATAAAATAAAAACATTTATTCAATAAATATAAACGGAATTAAACACATAGTAAAGCAAAACGATGAAAAGGTTACACATGTGCGGTCAACTTTTCTACACAGCGCGCCAGTTGGCTTGCTTCCAATTCTTGGAAGGTTCTTCCCCACTCTTTTGGGTTCATGCTATCTCATCAAGCCCACCAAAGTCCAGAATAGAAACTCTGATATTTCAAAGCTAATAACAAACTTCAATTAATTAAGGGGGTTTAGCAACTCTTAAAAATTTGCCCTCTTTCCCTGTTTTTCTGAATCTCCTTTCTAGAGGAGAGATGATGGAGAGAATACCTGCCTGGCAGGTGATCTCTCTGTCCGGGATTCTGATATGGGTTGCGATCTCCTCGTTCTTTAATGTGACCCAGAAGCTTAGATCTCTAACCCAGCCATGGGTCACCTACCATGTCCTGACAGGCACCCCCCTCATCCTTCAGGTCCAGGTAAGAAGGCCCATGTCGCCAATCCTCCTTGGTGCTTTTACCTGATCCTTAATGTTCCGTTTTTTCCTGTAATAATTTTTTATTCGATGTATTTCTTGCTGGGTTGTGCAGAACTTCCAGCATAGTTTCTTCGATGCTTTATTCTCTGGATTATCCTGTGTTGTCTCTGTGCCTTTCTACACTGCTTTTCTCCCTCTGCTCTTCTGGGTATGCTCTCTCCTTTTAGTAGGTTATGTCTGTTTTTTATCAAAATTGTTCACGTGGGTCTGGGTTTTTCTTGGGGCTTCCCCTATTTCAACATTTCTGGGTAGAACCCTATTTCAACATTTAAGTAACTGTGTTGGGTAAAATTTTGTAGAGTGGCCATTGTAAATTGGCCAGGCAGATGACCCTGTTGATGGCTTTCTGTGATTATATAGGGAACTGCATTAAGGTACTTTTCTCTTCAGCAATGGCTTAAAGTTTCCAATTTAGTTGAATAATCGAAATTAGGTTGACTAGGTTATTTTCCTTATATCTGGTTTGTACCTGTTTCATAGGATCTGGTGTCAGCACCTCGGCCCAGTTGCCCTCCTGTTAGGAGATTAACAGCTACCAAAGATGAGAAAGAAAACGCCATGGAGTATGGATTGCCCTCCTCTCACACTCTCAACACTGTTTGTTTATCAGGGTATCTACCTTACAGGCCTTCACTCTTTTTTCTCATTTTTTCCCTCTATTATGTCAATTGGAATAACGGTGACTTCAGCAGAATGGAAATAAACATACATCTTCATGGTTGATTGGATGGTGTTGCAGATACTTGTTGCATTATATCCTGCATTACTCCCAGAATAGAGACGGTGCTGTAGTGTTAGCTGCACTTATAACTGCTTACTTGCTTGTGGGGCTTATTGGCTTGGGTAAAGTCTGCAACTACTAATTGAATTATTACTCCTTTGACAAGGTCTCCACCATTCTTGATTTCTGTTCCTGAACTGAAACATGGTCTCTTGTTAGGAAGGATTTACCTTGGCATGCACAGTGTGGTCGATGTCATAGCTGGGCTTGTCATTGGACTGTCAATCCTTGCATTTTGGATTATGGTACATGAATATGTAGACAGCTTTATAGTCTCTGGACAGAATGGTATGTAAATTGGAAGTTCTTAATTAAATGTTTCTTCAGAATACTTGATGCCTTTCTGCTGATCGCATTTATCCTTGCACACCTTTGCAGTTACATCCTTCTGGGCCACCCTTAGTTTTTTGTTGCTTTTTGCATATCCAACACCAGAGATTCCGACACCAAGTTTTGAGTTCCATACAGCCTTCACTGGTGTTGCATTGGGAATAGTAAGCAGAAATCTCTACCCTTCCTCTATTTAAATTAGTAATTTTGTTTAGCATGTTGTTCATTAGATCCTTCCTTGTTTTAAACAATTTATTGTAGGTAGTGTACCAGTTTAAACCTAGTGAACACCTTAAGCTTCAACATTTCTTCATTTTCCTTGTCGACATCATAGGAAGAAAAAAGGATGCATCATTTAACATGGTAGCTAAAGTGAAATAAAACCATTTACATATCTCAATATTTCCTTTTTGAAGCTCTTGTTCAAGAAAAATGGAATTTGTCATAGACAAGTGACCAATTGTACTATTGTATAAGGATATAGGTATTTTATCCTAAAGTGCCTTAAGATTATGCAATTGTCCTTTCTGAGTATATGCTACCTAGTTCTCTGTATTCTTCTATAAAAATAAATGGTATAAATTTTACGGTCAATTATGGGGTTGTGCCCATGGCCTGTCTGACATACAATCAATTAAAACTGAGGACTTCTTGCCTATGCATCACTCCTGATCACTTTATCAAATTTCTTGAAGGGGCAAAGGTTACAAAAGTAATGGTGCTTTGCAAGAAATTTGAGAGGTTTTCTTTTTATCACTAACAACTAAAATGATTTTAGTAAGTGAGAAAAATAAAATAGACCTTGCTGCTAGAAAACCTGACAGCAAAGCCAAAATACATCTTAAACTACAACTCTACAAAACAACTAAAAAGCTGAACTGAAACAGTAAGAAAAAGAGGTGTTGTCCAACATGTTTTTTTCAGTGTTACATGGACTTGGACACAGGAGTCAGAAACTAATACATGTCCAGTAGGATTCATTGACACATGTCACATAAGTAATATTTATTATATATAATAAATATTATGATTTTTAATATTAATCTTAAAATTCACAGAACTATATGAGCATAACAAATTAAATACTTCTTTATCAAAAAAATAAATAAATACTTAAATTACTTTTACAACTAACAGATTAAAATAATAGACTTTGCCTATTTGCCACATGGCCACTCTAGTTGTTTTGATTGTTTTCCTAACGTCAATCTTAATTGGAAAATAAACAATGGGTCACAAGTTTTCCATTATGTGGGAAAATACAAATACTAGAATTCCCAGGCCCTATTTGACTGTTTAAATGGTTGGTTACATAGATGCATTTAAAGTGAAGATTCATAATTTTGGAGAGTCAATGCAGCAGGCATTTTGGTAAACCAACCTGATTAGCACAGTAGCTGATTCTGACACATTTTGGGGAGGTGGACACATGTCCATTCATGAGTCCCCTCCAAAGGTAGGATGTCCATGCAAAGCTGGATTTTTTTTCCTTTGTATGTGTGTGAGTTCAAGAAAAGGACCCAAACCTGGTTTGAAAAAGCATTGATTCTCAAAATAAAAGTGCAGAAAACATGTTCTTGGATGTGTTCTGTTTCCATTTCTAAAACTGAAACCAAAGTATGTTCTTGAATTTCTGGTTTCAAAAACATGCTTTTTCTATGGGAATTTTATATTATGCTTCATAAATCATACAATATTCAGATAGATTCTGAACAAATATTTATTAGCTTACCTTTTTCCTTTTTGGTGTGTGTACCATAAACCAAGTAGCAGTTAATATCAGCCTTATGGAAGTATAAATGTGCTTTTGTACCCATAAAAAAAAAACAAGGTTATTTTTTTCATCAAATTGAAAATATTTTCACTTTGTTTTGAGGAAAAAAACATCCAGGAATGCATTTTGTATTTTTGCTGATATAGCATCTCTTAAAACAAGAAAAACAAAAAGTACTCATCTTGGATAAAACCCCTGAAGTTTGCAGTGCTTAGCTTAGGAAATTTACTCATTCCCTGGGCCCAGAAACACCTAGAGTTTAGAAATTGGGTATGGTTGGAAGAAATGGGGTGTGCAGAAAATGTAATAATTCATATCCCTGCTTAATTGTTTGTTCTATTGCTTAGCCACATGGTTTCCCATCTTCTAGGATGTGAGCTACTTGGGTGGTCTTGGAATCCCAATATTCTATCTTATTACAATATGAAAGATCTTTTAATTCATCATATGCATACAAGTTTGTCTTGTGAAGTACCATAAAAGCTTTGCAAATTATACAAACCATCACTTAAATATCAACAATAATGATGAAAATCACAAAAAACAATAACATTATTAATAATAGAAGTCACATTAAATGTTATATATATATATAGAAACTTTTTTATCAGCATATATAGATAAAGAAACTTGTGAAACTTGGTTTCAGCATACTGATGGAGATATTAGTTTTAATATTCTATTGAATTTTGGTTGAGTAGCAAGTCCTATTTGGTTATATGTTTATCTGATTCAGTATCCAGGTCCATGCAAATCTCTAGGTATTGTAGGCTCTTAGTTTCAGGTAACATTTGGGGTGGCAATTAGAATTTTAGAATGTTTTCCAGAAACCCTTGAAACCAGAAAGAGGTCCTTCATTTTAGTTTCTCATAAAGGCATGTAAACCTGCCTTTTCTTAAGAAAGCCCATAGGCGCCACCAACATTGGTTGGCCATTACAACTAATGCCAATGCTGCAACCACTGCAGGATGGGTTAGCAATACAAGTACCTCCTCCACCTTGTGGAAATTACAGCCAAATCCATTGCTGCCACTGAGGCATCTATAGTGGTCATCATCGTGATATCACCACTACCCCCACCCCCCAATCAGGGACGGAAAAGAAAAGGATTTACCATTGGCTTATGTTGGATGTATGCATTAACACAGCTGCCTTTAATCATCAGGACAGTCTCTACCACCAAAATCCATCACCAGCAATTGTGGTGATCAGAATAATGTCCAGAAAAAGCCTTTTAATTAACTTGTGTATGCTTTGGAGCATGCCATGATGCAAGAAAACAAATGATACCCTAAAATTGAAACAAAATGAAACCTTTCTATTACTTTTGGCAATTGATTTCTTAGATGTTTTTTGGTTCATTAAAGAAAATAATACCTTGTTTTTATCCAGGTTAGTGGAGTCCAGCAAACTTACCATCAGTTTCACCATGAAGATATCCCACGCATCTTTGACCAACAACTTACACTGCCAAATTTCGTGGGAAGAATTCTGGTAGGAATTCCAACCATACTTTTAGTGAAGTACTGCAGCAAAGCTCTAGCTAAATGGATACTTCCTGTGGCATCCAACACCTTAGGCATCCCAATAAGGTCCTCCTGTTATGTCCCAGCACTAACTGTATCTGCTACTGAGAAAAAATCTGATAACAGTAGACAATTGCGTCATTTCCAGAAGTTGCTCTTCTTACGTCAGGATGCATTTGATGTTGATACAGGTATAAGGTTCCTTCAATATGCAGGCCTTGCATGGTCTGTTGTAGACCTGGTTCCATCTATATTCTTGCAACTAAGATTGTAAGTGGGGAAATAACTTTAGCATTATTGCTCGCATACTCCCCCCCCCCCTTTTCTTTCTGTCTTGGGTTTCGGTATGATTTTTTTTTTTTGTGTGTGTGTAACCATTGTAGATAATATTTCTAAATTTATTGTAAGAAAATTTCCACTGGTTTTCCAAGCCATCCTCCTGTCAACCAAATTTTGGGAGGATTGAGGCAGGTGATGTCTTGTGCCATCCAACTCCAAGACCCAACCAGCCACCAGGCTAGTAACGAATCAAAGAGTTATTGATCTTTACTGTAAAATAATCGCTATCTTCTTTGTTCAATGCGTGCACTCCAGACCTTGTACATCACGTTAACGTACCTTCTGCCACCTACGCTGCAAAGTGCAAACTGATCAATATGGGTAGATACTACCGTAGATGACCCATATTTGATTCGTTTATGTTTGAATTCGTATCAGATCGTATTCGTGGATTCCAATCGAATTTGGATTATAATGAGATATTAAATTGTTTAAATTAGACTAAAAATTATATTATATTAATAAAATGTATTAAAATGACTTTCAATATTATATTTTATGAACATATGACAATTTAATGAAAATACAACATCCAAACTAACTACACTGGTGGTTATAATATAAATTTTAAGTATATGTAAGCATGTATATTTTAATTGAATGGAATTGGATTATATCAGATTGAACACCCCTATTTTATTAAATTATAAATGGATCTAATTTGGATAATCCTTCATAAGTTATAATTTGAATTTGGATAATTGGATACCTTTTGCATTGAATCGGTGTAAATCAAGAATAATATAAAAGTTTGTCATTCAATTTTGTTGGAGTGTGTAAATTCCATTTTAGTTTAGTTGTGTACATTTGAATGGAGTGGAGTTTTATGTCATGAATCAATGAAAAACCTCATTAAATGTAAAGTTTTACATCGCTTATTAATGTAAATATTACATCGATAAAATTGCTGTATTACATCGATTACATTGCGCTTTTTAAAAGTGCAATGGTCACTTCTTCAAGGTTCAGTGTAAAATATTGGATAATTGGATATCGTTTGTAGCCCTACCTACCAAGAGATTTAAGAAAGTCCAGAGCTCTTTTGGCAATCTGAACTGAACTAAACACCTTAGAACTGGAGAGCTGTGCACAGAATACTACTGTATTGCTTTTGATTTGGAAAAGTTTTAGACTCGATCCTTACATTTATTCTTGCTGGCAGCAAAGTTTGGCCAAAGTCAAGAGAGACTTGTCACTGCCCATCCTACAATCACAACTTTTTCATATAGCTCATCCTACAATCACAATTTTTTCATAAAATTTGTCTTCAATCTTACAGGCTTAGAAGTAAAATTAGTATTTTTCTGTGTTGAATTTATATTTCAACCAACCACATTAAAATCTTTTCATTGGTTCATATTTCACAAAATATACTTTCATGTTAACAAGATTTACTTGTCTTCATGTTCAACCATTCACATCTTTTACTTTACAGCGTAGTGGATGCATCATAGGTTCTGCCAAAAAAAATCAGGCTCCATTTGATTGTACAAAATAAAGGAAAACAAACTGTTTTCAAAAAAATATTTTACTTTCTATTTAATCTTTGCTTGCTCATAAAATTGCTTAAATAACAAAGAAAATTAAGCATTTTACAAACAAAGGTGTCCAAAAGATGTATAAAAATGACATTAGATTTGATTTTTTGCAAGTCATTTTGTGAACAAAAGTAAAAAAAGGTTTGAAATATTTATATGATGCAATGCATCTCCATTAATCTCGGGACACCTCATTATTAGTCTATTAAATTCGGCACCTGATGCAAGATTCTAAATATTGGTATTGAGTTTTGTCTTGGTAAGCTTAAATACAGATATGGATACACTTTAAAAAATGCATAGATACAATGGAAGAATATGAATATATTAGGAAAACTATTATAAATCTCACAAATACATTAATAAGATTAAATATAAGTTTAAAACAATTATGAATAAGGTATAAAAGCATAATAAATGCAAATTTTAATAATTTATCTAAGAGATACAATACAACATCAGTACTGGAAGTCTAAAACATGTAGATGTCATACAACTTTACTAATAAAACAATAAACAATGTTTAAGCTTTCAATCTACTAAAATAAATTACTTTTGCACAATAATTATCACTTAATTCATATAAAATAAATCATTTTTATAATTTTTGGATTTTTTAGTTTTTCGGAAAAAAAAAAGCATAAATATAATGAAGATCACAAAACTAACAACAAATACACATATTCTTGTAATTGGAATTCTAAAATACATACATCAATCGAGCATGGATGATTTTCTAAAAAAATAAAAAATAAACATGAATAGTTAAATTAAAATTGAATATATGGACATGAATGATATTCTTCTTCTTATATTTTATTTGTCTTTGGTTTTGCATGTTGGGTTTTAACAAATTCAATATATGAGTTGGGGAGGTCAAATTTATCCTAATACCATACCCTATCCGTACTCGTACAGGTCTTAAAATCCCAAAACACATCCCTGGACCAAAATCCATTTTTTCAAATAAAAGAAAAACAAAAACACCTCATTGAGGAGGATGCCCACCGAATAGGGTGGAAATTGCCATCTCTAGATACAGTTCGAATCTCCTACCCACACATCAGTAGATCCACATATTGAGAACAACTAAGGTATTTGCATGTTACGGTTCATGAGGAGATATTCCCAATGTACAGTCATAGTGCCCTGTGGGTAGGAGATCTGGATTAAAATCAATACATTCTCTCTTCACAATTTCTCTCATTAATTTCTATATATAAGCAACTTTTCAAATTCAAATTTACCTCATAATCTCTCATTAATTCCAATATTCAAGCATGGCAAATTTTGACTTTCTCAAGAAAACTAGGTTTGAAGTATGGACACGTATCACATTATGTCATATATATCATATCCGTATTGAAGGTCACCAGTACTCAAAATACTGAGAGTAAGGAGATATTAACAGTTTCAACTGTAACGTAACAAATCCATCTGTAAATCTCAAACTGAAAAAAGAAATTAAAAAATAATAATAATAACAACAAAACGCACAATGCACAATTTTGTAGTATGGTGCATGTCGATTTAAATCCCGAATTTTAGACTTTTTTTATGAAGCATCCCAGACATGATTGAAGACAACAAACCTAACACTACACCCATGCTCTTGTTAGTTGTCACAGTCATATGTCTGCTAAATCTTGACTTTCACATTTCTTAGAGAATATTTGTCAATAATGTTAGAAAATTAATTATTAAAATATGTAATATCTATAAATATTAACAAACATTATTAATTCTTCCGTCATTTTACAGCATTCCCCATAGTTCACACTTCACAGTAGAGTATCTAAGATTCTAAGTAAGTTTCTTAATTCTTATACGTATGTAGCTTATTCGGTCACCTAAAATTCATATTTATACTATATTTTTTGGGATTTAGACTTGCCCTACTTTGAGTGTGCCTTGGTGCAATGATTGTGTTGCTCCATTGCAACCTTAGAAATACCCTTTCTATATGCAGGGATAAGGTTTGCATACATCTGTCCCTCCCTACCCCACATTGGCAGGAGCTTTGTGCACTGGACTGTCCTTTAGAATTTGCCCTACCTTATCTGTGTATTGTAATTCTTCTGCTATATCCATGTGTATCCAGATCTCTTAAAATTACCTTTTGATATTCACTGTTGCTCCCAACAGTCCTTACCATTACAGTCAGGAACATCGCCCCATAAATGGCAAAAGAGATGTTCCCATTGTGCAACTGCAGTAGTCTGTTGGGATAGTGTTGGAAGCACTTTGTTGATAGCAGATTCCTATCGAAAATAAAGCCCCCCCCCCCGGAAAAAGAAGAGATTAAATTCAGTAATCACAATACCATTAAAAAAAGGGTAAATTACAAAGACCTCCCTGTACTATGGGGTCTGTGTCAAAGACCCCCTGTACTTTGTTTTGCAACAAAGACCCCCCCTGTACTATGACCATGAGACAAAGACCCCCTTCTCCGTTAACTCGGCTAACAGAAAATGGCATTTTACAAAAATACCCTTTATAACTCGAATTCAAAATGTCAATAATGCACCCGCTGAAAAAAAAAAAAAAACGCTTGTGTAAAACCCTCTGAAACCCAGCCGAAAAACCCTTCATCGAATCCATCCCAGCTCTGTCGGAGATCACACCATTGCCACACCAAATGTAAATGAAAGCAATTGTCATTGTCGCCAGAAAAGATTTTGTCACCGTCGTCGGAGAATATCGCAAAAGTATTTATCAAGCATGCCTTCCCAAGGCAGTGACTGTTCAAAAAGGGAAAATGCCTTTAATAACATTTCAGTCCCAAGGCATGCCTTTCAAAAGAATACGGCTGGGTTTGAACAGTTTCGTCTGTTAGCAAGCATAAGGCATTATGCTTTTGAAATGTTATCAACCCAGCCTCTTCTGCTTCTAAAATTTTATCACTTTTGAAAGGCATGCCTTCGGACTGTAACCCTAATAGAACTACAAATGAATTGAAAACAGAAACTAAGTGATAACCCCTACTGTAACTCACAAGTTGCGACTGAAACAAATCCTGTGTAGCTGAAACTCATGAGGAAGAATATATCCCTTGCTACTGCAACTCAGAAATTGCAACTGAAACAAATCCTGTGTGGCTGAAGAAATCCCTTATTGGGGGAAACCGAATGCAAGAGAAAAACAAAAACAAGGTGAGATACAACTCAAGAGGGTTAAAAGTGTCCAAATTGTTATAAGGGTAGTATGGGGATTAAACAAAATTATAACGGTGAATTTTGGACGAAATGCCAACGGAAGGTCTTTATCTCACAATCATAATACAGGGAGGTCTTTGTCACAAAACAAAGTACAGGGGGTCTTTGTAATTTGCCCTTAAAAAATAAACAGCAAGAAGCTTGTATATCACTATGTTTTCTTTATTATCTCTCATTCCGTAGCTCCTTGTCACGGTATTCTTTTTATCTCTCATTTTGCAGCGCTGTAAACATTTTGGTGTTGAATGGATTTGCCTTGGGAGGTTTCAAATTAAAGAGCAAAAAATCAAACTTCGAGCTCACAAGAACGTGCCAATTGGTCTGCTAAGGTCTCTAGCTGAGTGTAGTGATGACTTGTGATCGGTTGAAACTAAAAACAAACATTTAGTCCTGCATTCCGAGTCGGTGGCCCGCACCTGAGCTTCGGCCAGGCACCTTAAGAGTTAAGACAGGAGACAGCAAAGCAGCTACAAGAAAAAACCAGACTTGGCCAAGTGATCTTCCATTGCAAAAAATAAAAATAAAAAATGCTTCCACTTCAAGTCTTGAACTAGATATCAGATGCATATAGAAAACTGTCCACGACCCGTCAACCAACCCAAATTGCCAATTTCCGAGTTGAAATAACAATGCAAATTGCTTTACTGAGCTTTACCTTTCTCACAATCTCACCTGGCGCAAAATGCGTGATTCCACAAATTCGATCTCAGGAAAAGAAAAAGCATATAGCTAACCGAAAGATGATATCAAAGCTAACCGTATATCCAGTGAGTGAAACCAATTTGGCAATGCGGAAAATAAATTAAGCAAAAGGTCAATAATTTGAGTAAATTTGATCTTATTGCTCTCCAACAGTTGAGTTGAATACTCTCTGTTTCAGTTAAATAGACTAAATGTTAGTGACTTAGTGCTGAGTGCTGACACCTCTCAGACGTTTCAATGGGCAGCCCAGCAGAGCCTTGGAGAAAGCAAAACAGCTCTAAATAGCTCAGCTTTGAACTTTTGAAGTGAATACCAGGTGCGAACTTGAACATCTTTGTCTAAACCATTAAAGAAAAACCAGATGGAGAAAAAAAAAGAGGGGCAGCCACCGGAATCAATGCGGTCCAATTAATACTAAAAAGGACATAAAAGCACCCAGTAAAAATAGAATCCCCTTCTTCCCTCTACAGACCCCAATGAAAAAGAGGAAAAAAAGAAAAAAAATGCAAAATAAAAAGAACAAAAAAAACATGTTTTGCTGGAAAATGATACATGATGCCAGTGTCGCCAGCTCCTGCCTTCACTTGAGGATACTCGGCATAGTTTGGAACACAACCAAATTAAAGGGAGCCTCACCTGCCCATTTTACATGCTTATGCGCCCCCACCACCACCAATAAGCATAGCAGGTTGAAATTATAAATCTTAAATCCAATAAACAGCTCTCAACAACAAGGATCTGCATCCACCTCATCATCAACCAGCAGGCAGAAACTTACCTGCTGGAAAGCCAGCTAAAATTGAAAGGCATTTGCATTATAGGAAATAATCAGGTGTTCTGCGGGTTACATCTGGCTCTCCTCTCCTTGGAGCTGGCTCAAACTGCAACAATGAACAACCCAGACATTTTAAGACTTTCTTTTCCGCACCATTATTATCAAATTACATCATCTTACATTGCAGTGAGCATGCACGTCACGTGTTCATGAGGGATATACCTGAATGAAAGTGTGCCCTTTGCAGTCATCCACTTCCAAGATTGATGCCATATTCCCACAACGGTAGCAATAATTGGGTGCACTGAAAATAGTAACCACCTTTTGTTCCTGTTATGAGCAAGATGTCAATCCACAATCTGCCATTCTATGCACAAAACAAGAAAAACTAAGGCAGATCAAAAAGATTTTGAAAAGCTGTAGTTACATGTCCCCAATTGTATCCTTCCATGACTAGCTGATGAGCTCTAGCAATCAACTTTAAGTTGTTGGTATGGTTGAACTGCTCAGAAATGTCCTGAAAGAAGAAAAACAAGTCAAAACGACCAAAGTTTCGGAGACTCTGTACTTTCTGAAAGAAAGTAAAACAGAAAGGAACAACCAGAATTGTTTTATGTTACCTGACCAAAGGTATATCCAGCACCACGAGGAGAAATACCCCAACCACAGCGATCATCTGGATCAGACCATAAGAGGTCACACATAGGCCCTTCATGGGGAACTTCTTGAACACGGTCAAAATTCCGTATGTTATCAAGTGTCTCAATGGATGGGGATAACCCACCATGTAGGCAAAATATTTCTGATTCAACCTTCAATAAGAAAACAGGTTACATAAAGCAGGCTAAGAGTTACTAAACAAAAAAAAGCTGATTATGGTATACAAAGCAACAAACAAAAATTAACAAAGCTAAATGGGATCAGGATATCACTCCTAAACAGCTTGTGAATTGTTGGCAAGCCAAACAAGTCAACCAGATTATCACAATCCAGATGCAATTTGAATTCAAACTTGAGCCAGATAAAATCTCACTAGTAGATCAGTTTACAATTAGATGGCATTACTATCCAATCTAACAGTTCTGGATGTATGCCACTCACATTGTCTGCCTTCATTTTGGTTTGAGCATCACATGTTGAACTAAAAGTCCTACCATGGAGTCACATGAAAGCCACTTTTAAGTCATTTGATCTGTGTTCAGTCCACCCCTCCCAAGACCCCAGATAGCTGGGACCAACATTAGGTAATGGGTCTTTATCCTAGGCCAATCCAAACCTAAAGAATAAATTCAGATCTAGGTCTATGCAATCCAAACTCAACATGTTGACATCCTAAATTAGAATTTAGAAACAAGGAAATGGTTCCAGAAGCAATTAGGAAACTCTACTAACCAAGGCTGTCAATGGAAAATAATCAAAAAGATCCGTGAAAACCTTCCAAACATTAGCATTGCCATACCTGTAAGTGAAGCATAACAAATAACAGAAAAACTATAGTCATATATGCATTCGACAGTATAATAAATGAAACGAGTGTGACGCCAAAAAGTTATTCAAACTGGAAGCTTGGGAATGTCCAGATACAGCAATCCATGTCAAGTAATACATATAAAGGGGAATTCATCTACTGAACAAAGGGCTTCATCTCATTCATGTGAAAAGTACATTCAATTTCAACAGAGCAAAATTATTGATTATTTCTCTGCAGTGTAAGTCTAATCTAACTAAGTCTGTAAATTTAATGGCATAAAAAGGGTATTGATTGAACAAAGGCTCAACTTGTTGTTCTATGTTGCCTTTGCAAGACTTATTGGAGCAACTGAGAGCACAAATATCTAAGCCATTCTAGTACAAAAATTATTGTAATAGCTTCCACTTTTATAATGGTATAGACATAAACGTCAGCATGACTATTCCAACCATCGAAAGATGCTCATGATATTGATAAGATCCAGAGGCAGATACACCAAGAAAATTTAGAAGCCTAAAATGCTTTTTTTGGTTGCAACTGAACCTATGACTACAATAATTAGATTGAACATGATTAATTTCCTAGGCAGGAGAACAGTCAAACCTCCTAAAATGAGAAAGAAAAGTTCATAACAAATTGCCTCTTAATCCCACCAATATTTACGTGAGTTGCAAAGGCTTTTGACTCGCCAAAATTAACTATAACACATTATAAATGAATGAGTTGATATGTGATAATTAAACTACAAACAGTATAATTTGTTGATCTTATCAGAAACCCCAGCAGAAGAAGATGCATGTGTGGAACTCACTTTCGTAGGCATTCATCATAAAACCCATAAACCTGTGTAATCTGCAAAGGATATGATAAGATATATTTAGTATATACCGATCATGAATAAAAGCAATTACTACAAAGTCCACAAACAAATCCACAATCGAGCAACCATTTTAGCTCATATCAAAAGGAAATCTTCTGTGGTGATAACATACCTGACGACTTTCATGGTTTCCTCGAAGAATGGTAATTCGTTGAGGATAGCGCACCTTAAGTGCCACCAGTAGCTGGATATATGAGCTAGTCAGTAATAAGGATAGCTACTATATAATCTTAGAGATTCACTTGGTTTTACATGCATCAGGTTGCTCCAATTGAGTGTTCAAGTAATCATCACCTACCTGAGTTCAGCAATGTATATATCCAAAAATAAAAGCATAAAAAGTGTTCGGTCTAAATGTAGAAGTTTTAACATTTATTATGTGCATATGGAAAAACAACATTAAAAAAAAAACATAAAAAGCAATAGGTTAGGTTGGAGAGGTCTTGAATTTGACAATGAGGGTTCTGAAATGAGTTCAATTATCAAAGAAACACCTTTCAATTAAAATATTGTGTGCAAAAACCCTACCAAATCTGGATTAGGCTCAGGATGAGAACATTGGTTGATTGGATGAGGTTGGTCCATTGGAGTTGAGCATTCAGCTCTCAACACTGGAAGGGTTTAAGTCCAATCCAGGCCAACTTGAATGAGAAGCAAACCTATCCGTATATTATGGGTATTATAATAACAAAGTCAAAACCATCCAACCACTTAGCAGATTGTATACATATAAAACTCCAGTGTTGGGTGCTCATACAACGAAAATAGTATAATACAGCTCCAAAATAGTAGTGCATGCTGGTAAATACACGATTATCCAAATTATATTTCTCACTACGAGTAAAACAAATCACCCATCTATAAATTGCTGCTCACCGTTACAGTTTCAACCGAATAATACCCACGGTCCACGTAATCTCCCATGAACAAATAATTGGTATCTGGACACTATCAACCAAGAAGAAAACAATCATAAGACTCAAAACTAACTATAGCTACAAAGGATCAGCAGCATTAAAAAAAAGGAACATAAAATCCAAGTGTCAAATACATGTGCACTAGACCCTCTAAGAATTTATATTACAATGACTCAAATTGGTTAATTTCATACCATTATAAAAGGTTACAAAATTATCCCTCCAATGAATCTCACATTGCATATGGTAGACAAAAACAAAGGTACAACCAGGAAAAGTGGGGGTAAAAGGAAGTCAAAAAACGAATTGGCTCACACCGATGTGGGAATTTGATTTATTCTACATTTTGAGCAGGGCAGATGGTAGAATGGTCATTCTCTACAAAGATTTAAAGGATAGCTCACATTGACAGATGGAACGGTTAATATTACCACGTTAGGAGTAGATTCTGCAATTATAAATTCAAATCAACTTAATATCTGTATCTGATGTATTATTCAAACTGTAAAGGTTTTATTCATACACACATGCACAACTGCACATGTCACGGGTGCATAGAAAGAAATTACAGTCATATTGTAGATTTAAAAGCCAGCAAATCAGTCATAATACATCTAACTAAGAATCATATGTACAATCATATGACACTATCAGTATCACCCTGCCCAGGGTTCATCATCCTAGAAACTTAAAGAACCATTCATTTCTCAAATATTATTTCTTTGGTAGGTCTCAAACAGTATTTACATTGCCCCTAACACCCAGAGTTGAGAATAAAAATATATTAGACAATATACCTTCCCCCCAATTCGAAAAAGTTCTGCAAGATCATGGAACTGCCCATGAATATCACCACATATCGTCACAGGGCTTTTCACAGGCTGCAATACCAGAAGAAAACAAAAAATGAATATTAGAGACTTCCGAATGCATCCTAATGTATAATTTATACTCTAAACACTTAAATAATGTCAGAAGCCCCAGAGGATAAAGGAAGATGCAAGTCCATTTAGATATTCCATTAGAACAATAAGTAATAAATAACAACCATTAACAATATAGTAAGAGCTTAACGAGGATGAACAGAGCGTCAGACCTGGACATTGCTCTCTTCCATCAATATTTCTTTAGCTTTATCGCATAATGCTCTAACCTAAACCAGAAAACAAAACAATATAAATACACATACTTCATCATTTTTTCCCACTTTGGATGTATATGTTTACCATTACTAGCAGAAAAATAAATGCAATAACTATAGGCATCATAAAATATCAACAAGACTGGAATTTCTTCTTAGGAAAATGGTGTTTCAATTGCCAGAAAACATTAATTCAACTGTTTAGTCATTTCTATAGTGTAGCTCAAAGTCTCAAACACGACTAGAATTAAAGAATAAAAAATATCAATCAATTTATCAAAACTGCAATTTCAAGAATTTCTTCAACCTTGATATTACAAATACAGGCATCATCCAATAATGAGCCAAAACTTAATAAGGAAGATTTATGGATCTGTCCAGCATGGTTCAGACTACTGATAAAATAAAGTTTCAAATAAACCTAAAATATATAAACTTAGCCATAATTCAAACTGAAATGGAAAACAAAAGTCCAAAGTCAAAGAAAAATATCATAAGAACTAATTACAACACTTCCCGTGAAAAAAAAAAGACTAAGTAACAAGGCACCCCCAATGAAATAACCGTGACATAGAAGTCTGGCAAACAATTTAAGTACTTCTTTGAAATGAATTACAAAACATAGAGATTAGAGAGTGAGATATTCATTTCATAACGTCTGTAAGTTTCGCAAGGACATTGGTTTAATTAATATTTTTTTACGCTGATCCACGTAGTTTGCAAACTGGGCTATAAATTGATTCAACAGAAAAGAAAAAATAATTATTCAAAAGTTCATAAACAACGTTGAGGGGATCAGGCTCCCAGCTGAGGAAAATGGCTTAAACTGTAAAAGGGAAGCCACTCGAAATCAAACTAGCAACGTACATAACTCATCAACCAAATATAAGCATTCGGAGCAAATGGAGATCATTGAGACGGACTTTTATTACGAAATACATAAATTCCCGAAAGGAATTATGACATCCATAATAAATTCACAAAAATGATCTTTGCTCCAGAATAGATATTCTATCACTAATTTGTAGCCGATCCCGAAAATAAGCATGGGCGCAATGAGTGGATCCAATTCAAGAAACAGGCAAATCTAAGGAAGGATGCCCGTTATGTCCTACAATTCCACTGTCAGATCACCATAGAAAGCTCTTACTCAACTAGAATATCAGATCATTTCCAAATGAAAATAAAAGAACAATAATCGACATTTTATCCCATCTGGAACATGCAAATCCTCACGAATCAGCTCTGATCCGTCGGTGAAAACACGATTCAAGCAGCTCAAAGCATGATCAAGCACCAAAGACCGAACGCTTGGAATAAAAAAACGGGATTTCGTCAAAAGAACAGAAATGAGATGCAAAAACCACGAAAAATCGAAGAGAACGGAACCTCTTGCTCGGACAAGGGCTTGCACTGCATAAGCTGCGAAATATGCTCATCGAGGTGGCCGTGGGAGTTCGAAGGAACCGGATCCACACTCATCTTCTGCTTCCTCTACTTTCTTCTTCGGCGCAAGAAATCGAAATCTTCTATACCTCTCAGCCTAACTAAATGAATAGAATCTCAGCTACAAAGCAAGCAAGAACATAAAACCCTAACCCTGAATTTCTTCGTCGTCGTCGTCGCACTGTCTCGGAGGAGAGGAAAGAGAGAAGAGGGGCAGGGCAGGAGGGGGACCCAGAGAGCAAGAGAGAGAGAGAGCAAGAGCGCGCGCGCTCGAGCGAGCGAGAGAGAGAGAGACCGGGTTGTGCGGTGGTGCTGTGACCAAAGAGGAAAACCCTCGTTCTTCTACGATCACCCTTTTATTATTGGGCTTGTGAGGTGCGAAAATTGAAATCTCCTCCCAAAAATAAATAAATAAATAAATAGCTTTTTTTAATTTATATGAATATAAAAATATTTATTTTTGTGGACTTTGCTAATTTTCTTCTCCCCTCCTTCTCGATTTGAGCATGCGCAGTTGCGCACTTTGGCCAATAAAAAATTTGAAAAAACTAAATAAACATTAATAATTTTTGTAATTTAAGGCGTCCATTAGATATGATTAGTTTTGAATATCAAAACGGGAACGCCGTGGAATGACCTTCAGCCTTCTATCGTTGTGTCATGAACACGTAGATTCCAATCCAACGGCCTGTACATTGGTATAAAAACTTGACGTAATACATTTTGCCACGTGGCAAGAAAACCGCCCAAACAATTAACAATACAGGCCATTCTTTTAGATAATTTAAATTTATTCCCTCAAAAATAATGACGTCATACTTTTAGGTAATTTAAATTTTTCAGTTTGTCCATGGGATGATAAAATTTTCAATTTATTCCAAAAAATGTTTTTTTCCATATTTTGATAACAATTCTTTTATTCGATACATGTTACGCGCGTTTACAATTGTCAATTTTAACTTTGATGACCTGCATAACTCTCAACACCAAATTATTTGAAAATTTTAGAGTGGTCAAAGTATAGAGGTGATTATAGTATTTGTCAAAATATACAAATGAAACTTAAATAATATACCCTTCCTCAATATAACCTTTTATTAGGTCATTATCGTTTATAAATCTTATATTATGTATGTTTTGGTTTCGTTTACATTTAACGTTTCTACTTAGCCGAAAAAAGTAATAATTACAATTGTTTATGACAACTAGTTGTCAGTAGGCACTATATCATCATAATAATGAAAAAACGTCTAATCATTTGTGGGAGCTTTAAAAAATAACTTTTTGAAACGGTAAGCATGCATAAAAATCAAAATCCACTTTTGCCATTTAAGTTTATTGAATGTAATATCCTTTTTTTGTCTACCCTTAGCTCTCCTGGCCCCTTTTCGCTTATAATATAGTAACATATTATTAGATTAATGCAGAATGTAATATGGACCAATTATACAACATCCAAACTTGTACCTTTTTCGAGTTGTTTTCATTGGTTTATATATGTAGGCTCTGTTTGGTATGTTTTTAGACAATTAACTATGACGAATGTTGCAAATCTAATAATCATTTTAACATTTGAATGTATGCAACGAATTCAAATTAATTGTTTCTAACCTCAAATTTCGTTTTAAGATTTTTTGGCTAAAACTTTTAGTTTTTTTACCAATCTCAAATGTAACCAATGCAAATGCTCATTTCTATTCAATCCTAATTTGCATTTTGCTTAACCGATTTGATTTGCATTTGTGTTGAACAAACTTGTATTTGCACACTTACCAGGTGCAGCCTTAGAGAAATATCATGCAATTTTAAAGATTAGGCATTCTTAAACTATAAGCTTTGGCTAGTACCTAGAGATTACAACTTCCTCGAAGAAAACACTTGGTTAGAATCCGAGTTGGATAGATTAGACGTCTACCAAGTACCAATGCCATCAAGGCTAGGACCCTTGAACCAAAGTCGAAGTCGCGTTAGGCCATGAAGAGTTGTTGAAAGGCCGTTGAAGTTGACTGACTGATGAAGGTGAAACGAAAAGATAGGCTGAGAAGATTGTTTAAGTCAGCATCTAACTTATAAGATAGTTTTGAAGAGTGTAGCACCAATTCTTCCCTAACCAAGCCCTTGTCCATAAAAAATATGGAAGAGATAAAACTTTAGCAATATAGATAAATCCCTTTAGAATTGGACCATACCCAAGATAGCACCTTCATAGATCTATAGAAAGGGGGGTTTTAGTCTAAAAGCAGACTTCAATATTAGAACTGTAGAAAGAACTATAACACTAGGCAATTAATCAAAAGACTTCCACCTCATAGACCGAAAAACAATAGAGGCCTATAAGAGAAAAGGTTGAATGTCATTTCATCCATTTCAGCCTACTATAAGTAGCCATCAAACCCCTAACCTACTTTAGCATGTCTAAGAGATTTTAGACATGATAAATTCAACGATTCCTTAATAGAAGCAATTGAGGGTAGCCTTATTCAATGACCCATATATTTCATTGCCTTCCCTAATTTCATTTTGTCTCTAACGGACCCAGGGATACAAGAAGCCTTAACCTTTAGGCTGCAAACCCAAGGTTTCGAAATTAAACCAAGATCAGGAAACGTGGCATTAGTTTATAAAATTTTTTTCAAGACCATTAATACCATTTGACATAATACTATGATAACAGGAGCGAGGAAAATGACAACTTTTGTTTCAAACAAATGCTATAAATAACGTCACAATCCCTAAACAAATTATGTGAAAATATGTAAAATTACCAAACAAGTGCCTAATAGCCAATGATGAGCCTCCAAACACATGGAATCCACTAAATTAGCTTTAGTATGTAGTAAGCAAGATAGATATGTAGAGTTATGGTTTAGAAGATCCTCAACTTCATCAAGACCTTCATATACGTAACCACTAGAAAGTGAGATATTCTTATCCTAGAAGGTTGATGGATCTAACGGAATCACCTCACCCCCTTCCAGGTATAATATATGCCACATATGAAACACCAATAGTTGATGCATCGCAATCGGCTTATCATGCAACCTAGAATCAAGACCCATCTGTAAAGTCATACGAACTAATCGAGGAATAATTCCGAATAGGTAAAGACCTTATTAGGTTAGGCTTTAATTCCTAACCAATAAAAAAAATGGTTATTTGAAATTTTCTCTAGATTTGAGAGAGGTCGTACTAGAGAGGTATGGTACGAAGATATGATAGAAACTAATGAAAATATTCCTTTTTGGAATTGGTTTATACAACAAAAATAATTTAAAAATATAAAACCCCCAAAAGAAGAATTAGAGTTATGTGTAACAAATAAACTTTCAAAAGCATGGAAAACTACTTTTACAAGTAAAGTTGTAGAACCAGTACATCCTCCTTTTGAAGCAATCAAATTAGGGAAATAAGAGCTAATAACTAGTCCAATAATAAATCCTTCAATAATAGAAGAAGTCGAAAAAGTTATACCAAAACACTATTCCCAAATAATATAACAAAATAATTATACAAATATATACCCGAATGTCTAAGGCAAACAAACAAATCAATTTTAGACCCAATTGAGCTTCTAAGAAGTCTCAAATCAAATAACAACAATAATTAAAAAGGAAAACCCTATGGAGATGGTGAGAGAATTTCATCAAGATATGAGGATCAAAGGCACTATGTTAAACTTGTCCAAAATGAGCTATAAAGATGTAGCAAATAAAACAATTTTGTTCAAGAACTCTAAATGGGAAAAAAGGAGAATCTTCAAACAACATCTTCTAAAAACCTAAAATAAGAAGAAAAAAATCTGACACTCATTATATAGATTTATTAAGCGAATAATCAAAGATATAAACAAAATCAAATACACCACCAATGGAGCTAATTAAGCTCTCATATAAAAGCAAAAAAACTTATTACCCCAAGCATACCCAAGTAGACTTGCTCTTTGAGGAATCTGCAAGACCTTAGGTAAGTTATGATGTAAATACATTTTACGAGTGGAATTTAGATGGGAAAAATGAGTACCAAATCCATTAAATGATCCATCACATGACTCTATATACTAGCACTAGTAAACTAGCTAGGAATGAAGAAAAGATAATTGCCACCATAGTGACTGAATGCTTTACAAGCCAACTTAAAAGTTGGTGGAACAATTACCTTTCCCAAGCTGAAAGAGATTATATTGTAAATTCAATAAAAAGAGATGAAGATGAAAAAATGGTCTTAAGTCAAGGCCAACCAATTCAAGATGTAGACACCACTTTAGTATTAAATATACCAAATTATTTTATATGGAATTCAGGTGATATGTTATAAAGGATAAGTGAACAATTTATAAATCTTAAGTGTCAAACATTATATGATTTTATATGGTATAAGGATGTATTTAGGCTAATTAATTCAAGAGAACCCTATTGGAAAAAACAATTTATTTCAGACCTTCCCCTGTCATTCGCTGAAAAGGTCAAGAACCACCACAAAAGTCTAGGTGGAGGGAGAATACCCATTATATGTTTGGGTATTTAGTCCATATAGTAAAAAAGATAGGACCGGATTTATGCAATGACTTATGCCTAAAAAGGCAGATCAAAAGAGAAAAGATTAACTAAAAAAAAAAGACCAATTTGGGGTAGGTCATGAACCCACTAGTACTAAACCAGTACATAAAAGGAGAAAATCCAAATTTCACAAAAGAAAACTTAAGAGGAAAGAAAGAAAATTGAAATCCTCGAAAAATAAAAAAGATTATAAGATCACCACTTGCTTTTAAGTGTGGGAAAAATGGTCATTTTGCTAACAAATGCTTTAAAAACCTAAAAAATGTTTATGAATTAGATGAATCGGTAAGAGAGGTTACATTTGATGAAGAAAGAGAAAGATAAACCTCAACCTCATCATAAGGGTGTTGTGACAACCAAGGCCTCTGTACATGTAAAAATGAAACTAGTACAAAAGATAATTCAGACAGTATTAATATGATCTCTCTATAAGAATAACATTTATTAGAAATGCTATAAGATATCCCTGATGAGGAAATCAAGAAGAAACATTTACTTATGGCAATGCATAGTAACAGAGAAAGTAATAAAAACAAAAAAAAATCTAAAAAATATATAATATCATACAATGAAATTATCAAAAATGCTCAAGGAACTTCCTCTCGGCCCCCTACTTTGATACACTTAAAGCAAGAAGTCAACAAACTTAAAACCGAGGTTAAATTACTGAAAGGAATAATTGAGATATTAAAATCTTATAAAGATTTTGTACACTAAGAGAGATATAGCATATCTTAAAAAATAGAAAGTGTAGAACCCGTTGAATTTGTGGGAGAAGATGAAGAATG